CGACGGTGGTTCGTTGCCAAATTTGCATCGAAGTATGTCCGTGAAATGGGCATACATTCAACGGTGCTCGCGAAAAGAACGAGCTACTGCTGAAAAGTTGGAAGAAGCATTCGGCGAAATTACAAGTATTCACTACGAATACGGCGCCGTTCAATTTCACTACGTTACACCGGGTCGTTCGCCGAATGGACTAGAAACGTTGGAAACACTGGCCGGAGAGATACTTGGCCGTTGATGAAATTCTCTGATTACGAGAACGTTCCCTTAAGGGCGTGTTTTCATTTAGAGGGGTGAAGAAGAATCGAACTGTTTTTTTTTTTTGCACTTTGAAATGTCAAAATTATAATGATTTCAAGGAAGTGATGCATTGCTGTAGAAACTCTAAGGGTAGAAAAACTTTGAATGCGTTTTTCTCGAAACCGCGTTTTGCAAACTTGCTGCCATGATTTCTCAGTGATGAATTAATTAATTTCTCAGATTGCGAGAACGTTTCTTTAAGATTTTTTTATCGCATTTTCTCAAAGTTTGTGTCTTTTCTCAAGTGTCTTTTGCTAAAATTTTGCGCCTGAAACGGACGAAACGACAAAGTCATAATGATTTCAAGAGAACGATGCATCGTTATGAAAGAACCACTGCCATGATTTCTCAGTAATGAATCAACTAATTTCGTTAAAATTTCGCATTACGTATAAAATAGATAGCTCTTTATGCCAACGTCTGCGATAGTTTAATCTAATTAAACTCGCGGTAATTAAGCGTGAAAGAATTGGAAAGAGAGAAGTTAAAAGTGCTTTAAAAATTAATTAATTAATTATGCAGAAAATGTACGGGGACATGTATGCTGATGTTACTAAAGGAGTTACGTTTGTTACGAAAGATTCTCATAAATATATTCGTGGTATGAGAATAAGTTTCTTGTTCTTTGTGTTTTCGATAGATACGGAGTGAGTCACGCAACACGTTACGAGTCAATATCTGTAGTAGCTGGCAGAGAAATTGTAAGAATTCTTGTTACTGGCTACTCATATTGACTTTTAACAAGTTACACAACATTTCTTGCACAGTCTGAGAAATTTCAAAAGAGATGTATGACGTAGAATTGCTAATCAATTTGTACGCGATAATACCGAGCAATTTATTCAATGTACAGTGTACACGTGGGAAACTAGCAAAATACCACGTAGCTAGAAGAAGATAAATGTAAATGTGCCTCGTAGCCAATAGCAAATAAATCCAACATATCGCTTTGAGTAAAAGTCAGATATCTCGGTCGGTAAAAAAGAACAAATAGAAATTAAATCAGAGATTAGAGACTTTTTTTTTTTTTAATAGTGGTTTTATGCGTGCATTTTTGTTTTCAAATAAATTCTCTGTAAAATAATTTAGGATCGTCATGAATAGGAAAGTTAATTAAAATGTGTGAAAGCGATCATGTATGGAAATGCAAGAAGAACAGAACTAAATTGCAAAGATTTCTAAGATAACAGAAAATAAATTAAGTAAATTTATTTACTCATTTACACTTTATTATATTTCGACGTACAACAATATCTAAGATGTCAGAGAGAAGCTCCATTGCAATAAAGAAAGGCGACGAAACTTTTCAACTGAAATTCCTTTTCATAGCGATGCAGCAGCGAAGTAGAATAAATCGCATAAAAAGCTATGCGAACAGTGATAATAAAACGAAGGCGGTTTCAAAGTATCATTACGTTCATTACAAAGAAGCTTTACAACGGTGTCGCGAACGTCTTTACAATTTGCAAGTTTGCGCTGATACCAGAAATGCGCAATTTCTAAAAATGTTGAATTTTCACTCGAAAAATCGAATTTTCCAATATTTATCGCGAAATAAGGAAGACAGAAAATTTGCTTATCAACGAAATATGTAATAATATTAACTATGAAGCAACGCACGCGTGATCTTCATTTTTGCTGACATTTCATTCGTTTCTTGTCCTTTGAATTTCTAAAGGACGACGTTCAGGACGTTTTCACTTGTCAAGAAAGAATCTTGAACAACATTTGGTACTCTTGTCACGCGCTATAAAACATGAAATACTCTGTGTCAGGTGGAATAGCAGGTTGCTTGTACAGAAAAGCGAAAGGAAATTTGAATAAAGCGAGAACATGTTACAGAAATGATTTAAAAAGGGTCACGAGTTTTTTTAAATATATCCTTCCATGTATTTTCGCCGAGTAGAAAATTTTCTGCAACTTTCCTAGAAAATTAATAATTCACGAATATTCGGAATAATTCTTATTTTTATCGTACTCGCAATGTTTTGTAACGTTGCACTGTTATTTAATTATAATATAATGTAAAATACAGCAATAAATGTTTTGTCGTAAATGAATTCACGCCAGGGAGTATAACAGATTTGTCTGTCGCATCGATCGAGCGTTTCATTTGTTTAGCAGCAGTTGAAAGTAAAATGCACACCGAGGTACGCTTTAATATTCCAGAGCGGACATTTCGTTAGCTTTTTCCCACGATGAAAATTGTCCTGTAGAGCACTTTTTAAATGTAGCGTTTGCGATCTTAAAAGCAACGGTAACAACATTACGACGAAAAGGAACGTCATAGATTTGCTATTAAAAACGCTTTTTAACTCTCTCCTAACGTAATGTGCCGCAAAGTAATGACCGATACATCGAGTTACTCAATTCGCCTCTATTTCACTTAATTCCTTTATCGTAATTTCGAGGAGAGGACAATAGAATCTGTTGAATAAAAGCTTCGATACCTTTTTTCTTCTTCTCGTGTTTCAAGATATACTTGAGAAGACGCTGTTTTGAACAATAATTCGTGCATTTGTTATATGGATAGTAAGATTTTCTAATCTTTACTATTCTTTTGTTTCCCACAATTTTAGATTTTGATCCGATAGGGAATAAGGAAGCGAAAGATGCAAGGTTTGAAATATTAGAATGAAAATTGTATACTTTTTTATTGACGTAGACAACCTATTATCAACTCTGTTATGGTAATATCGACATTGTGCATTAATTTCGAGTAAATTATTTAGAAATGGGAATCGTAGGTTGCTCTGGTGGGATTCTGCTTTGAATATGTTCACTAAACATTCCTTTCTTGCTGTTTCAAGTATTCTGTATATCGCTAATTGTAATCATAATAGCTTACAACATTGCTATAATTTTTGTTTTTTATTGAGTTTCAACGTCGACAGTTCGGAGTAAATGTATCACCGAAAATTAGATTTTATTATAGAACATTAAGTCCCTTAGGAGAGAACTTAGAAAAATACTTTCAGTATTGCTACGATTTAAATGACAATTTCAATTAAGTCACCTTTATATATTTATAAAATCCGAAATTACACTTTCAAAGTTTCTTTTACATTAGCCAAAGAAATTCCATAAGTTTCAGGAATAAGATGAAACGTTTATCGATCTTTTCCATAGAATTGAAAGAATCGAAAGAAAATTTCGCATTTATTTCGCGGTACGCGATACTTCTTCACCGTGAATCTTTTAGCAAATCGCACATACGTATGTCATTTCGAAACTTTTTTTACACGAACGTTTCTTTTTTTTTTTTTTTGCCATTTGTATTTGTCAGCCGGACATTAGCCTGCAAATTGGCTAGCATCCGGCGCACATATCGAACCGGAAGTCGAGGACCGTAACGTCAGAACATGGACTAATTGGAAATTCTAATTAAACGGCAGCGATCAATTCGATCAACAGATCTCTACAGGCACACACAGTTGAATCGCAAGAAAACCGCGGCGAAACGTGTATGATTTTTCTTCCTTCCACGGAATACGAAACATACTAGCGTGTATCGTTGTTGGAAATGTTCAAAACGACGATCAACTGTGGCGGAATCCTTACAAAGTGTCTATTGTAAAGTATGCAGCCACGAGGAATCGTGAAAAAAGGAAATAAGGTGTGACAGAATAATTAAACTTCCCGCACAATGGAACTGTGTGACCTACACTTTCTGGTTGCGCAAGTCCGTGAAAAATATATACAGAAAGAGAGAGAATGCCAACACCGAATTCTCTTTCTCCCTTTCTTTCTTTTTTTCCCTTTCTTTTTACGCTTCCGTTTAAAAAAAAAGGGAGTAGCAGCGGTTGGTTTTAAATTAAGAAGACATTCATCTCGTCTCCTTTTTTCCATGTCGCCAAGCATCACACACCCGTCGAGGAGACGAGTGAAGGCGTGCAAAGAAGAGATTTTCACAGGTTCGAGGACGGCAGCAGGGAGAGAGAAAGAGAAAGAGAGAGAGAGAGAGAGAGAGGGACAGAAAAAGACACATTTTGGTAATCCATTAACCGAACGTAGCGAATTAACGCGGGGCGATTCTATCGCAGTGCATCCTGTGAACCCTGTGAGCGAACCCATGTACAGCCATTAGAGTCACGAGCGTTTTGCAAGCGATTAACGAAACTCGAACGATCATCAAGGAGACAAGCATCGTCATCGCGTTCGTAATTCACCGACGAGAACGATGCCTGTGTTCGAGAAACAGGACATTTTTGAATCATTATCGGTACATTGTTCCGATTGTTAGTTATCGTTCATTTGCTGTACGGTCGGTGATAGAACGTAGAAATCCAACGCTTCGTTTCTCAAGTCTCGACATTTTGTCACAGCGTGTGTGACAGTCTTAATGCATGTGATCGATTCACGTAGAGAAATTAGTTGCAACTAGTGTGTCGTAGCGAACGGGGATCCTTTTAACGCTCTAGCAAATCAATCGCATTTCTCAAATTTTCTTACGATACGCGATGCTCGTCTCGGTCGTTTCACCTAAATTTGAAGAAAGAAAGGCATTTCAAAGAAAGTCGGTTAGATTCGATTAGAGAAGGCAGCGAGCTATAGGCAATGTTTAATTTTCGTAGACAGAAGGGAGAGAGAGAGAGAGAGAGGGAGGGAGAGAGGGAGAGAATGATGATTGAGGTTGAAGGAGAGAGAGGGTGAGAGAGTTGTAGAGGATTGACTGAGCAAGGGTTGTCTTTCCGGTGTTGCAGGATGCACGCGGTTGGATTGCACTCGGCGCTGGCCATCAAGCGTCAGAGAAAACGCCGGGACGAGCAGCGTCGTGCCTGCGAGCGTCGTTATAGCGCGCAATCAGGCGAGAGCGGCCTGACGTCGCCCAGGGCTTCGACCGGTTCCTTGGACCATCATCCGAAGCATCATAAAACCGGACATGGGAGACCCGCGGCTGGCCCGGGAATGTTGGATACGAAGATGGTCACGTCGGTGGGGATGCTTCACATGGGCGTGGTTTTCCTGGTGCTTGGCGCTTTCCTTCTGATGAGCGGCCTCTTGCCCGGTGATCTTGTCACCGGTGGCTGGTGGGAGGTGTCCATAGGCTCGTTCTCTATCTTCTTGGGGATCTTCCTCATGATTCTGAACAAAGTGATCGCGAGGAAAGAGGAGAACGACTTGGAGGAGTACGTGCAGAGGCAGCTGACGAGGACCAGGTCCGGTCACAGGTTGGAGAGGGACGTGGAAACCGGTGGACTGACCACTAAGCACGCTAGAAGAGCGAGACAGATGCAGCAGGCTGTTTCCAGCGAATCTATCGAGACACAGAACGAAAAAGAGGCGGAATCACCGCCTGTGAATCCTTCGCCTGCTTACTCGCCACCGCCGACAATGAACGGCGATCATCAGGCTGTTCAGTCGGCCCTCTATCTGGAACAGATCACCGAAGAGGAGATCATCAGCGACCGTGTGGAAACGTCTACCACCAACAGTCTGAGCCCTGGCTCGCCGAGCGAGACCAGGGAATTATTGCAGAACCCTCGCTATTCGAAGCAGAATGGAAATCCTCAGCAGGTTCATCGGCCGCTTTACGTGTCTAGGATCTAGATAACGGGGGAAAAGTTTGAAGCCCCTCCCTGGCTGAAGTTAGAACGATCGCAGAGGATCTCATACATCGGGAGGAAATTCAGGCAGCCGGTTGTTTCTACCACGACGACTACGATCAGCGTTTTTATAACTCGGTATCGCGGGATCTTCGGCTGTTTCTGCGTTTACCCTATTGACGGGTTGTCGATTTAGATAAGCGACTATCTGGAGGACAGTGAAATTTGCCAATGGGAAAATCCATAGTCTGTGACTTTTGAATTCTTGATGTCAATGTGTTAAAGATGTCGTGTCGTTTTCAAGACACGACGAGATGTGTGATCGTTCAAGCAAAATCTCTTCAAGGCTTCGCTTTAACGTTCTAACGAGCTAATATGAGATTTCAATGTCGATAGTCTTACCTTTCCGAAGTTATCGAGATCTCGTCGATCTCTCGCGAAAACTATACAATTCTACACAGCTCTCGCTACCGTTTTCTAAGCAATTCGAATCCTTATCGTATGTCTCTAACAACGAAGGATTTACTCGAGAAGAGAAGATCGATCGTTAAAATGATTGCAGAGCTTGATCATTGGGACCAAGGTTTCGTTGCAGACGTTACATTCATTCTTTCTTCTTTGTTTTTCACGAATAAACGACACATGTATGCTCTGTTACACGTTAAACACGTATTTCAACGAAGAAATTCATCGTTTCTTTCTCAACGGTTTACCTGTCGATTCGTAAAACGGAGGCCAATCGACCTTAAAAACGAGCAACTAATCGAAATCATCTCGTTCATGATACCGACACCTGTGCGAAACGTGGTCGAAAACGCAATTTGCCATGATTCGCTAATTTCGATCCGAGCGATCTCCTTCAAAGTTTCAGATTCTCGAGGAATCGAGTTTCAACGCACGTTCAACGGGCATTTCTCTCTTCGCGCCGAATACAATTCTACTCGGAGCAATTTCCTGTCAGGAAGTCGACGCGGGAACGATACCGGGCCGCGTAGGGACAAGGTGCACCCCTTTGTATACGATTCAATCGTTACAGAAAGAGGAAAATTTCACGAGATAGAGAGAGAGAGGAAGAAGAAGAAACCTTCCGACGTGGACGTCCGATACGAAATCAATTTCCTAGATGAATTACGCTAGAGTGAGATCGTTTTATTCGTGGTATCGTTGGTACAGGGAGAGAACGCGATCGAGATCTCGATAATTTCAATTTCAGCGTCGAGCACACAGGAGGGGTGGCAGACAGTTTTCACGTGAACATCGGAGAAAAATAAATAGGGTGCAACGACACACGTTCGAGTCTTTCGACATCTCGCGACATGGTACAACGGAAGAAGAAAAGGAAAACCGTACACTTTGACTCGTCGATGTCTCCATCGACACAATTTTCACGGAAGCGAGAAACTTTCATTAATGTGAATAAAGATATTCTTTGATATACTATTCGAGTAAGATAGACGTAAATGAGACAGAGATCGAAGTGTGAGAAACTCAATGCAAACCGTTGGTTCTTTTCTAACTACATAGAATACATATTCTAAGATCACATCAGCCGCTCGATGAACTTCAAACGTTTTGCCAAAAGACAAAAAGGAAAAAAGACAAAAAAATACACCTTTCTCTCAGGCACGTGAACGTGTTAACGATAAGAGAATCTCTTGTTCTATGCGATACATATACATACATACATATATATACATATACGAGCTTCGTCGCTGATTTTGTCTAACAATACGAATTTGCTCGCTGATTTGCCGAAAACGGCAGAACAGAGAAAACGATTCGAACAGCCCCTCGAATCGGGCGATTCCGCGGGAGAACGACTTAAACTTTTCGTCCATTGTGAAGCTTTCACGTGTGTGTAAGGTGAGGATTTCTTCGTGAAAGGAAAAAAGCGGTGTTCGAAGAAGAGTTAAGGAGAGAATGTCCTTTGGTCTGTCGTTTAATCCTCGTCGCAAAACCGACTGCACACGCGAGCACGTGTAAGTATGCGCAAAAATAGAGGTGGAGAGAGTGAGTTTGAGCGGTGAAATTTTCCGAGCTCTCCTCTCGAGAGCCGTGGTATTTCGAGGACACGGGAAATATTTCGAGGATATACAAGGAGAAGCTTAGGTAGGATCGCGGCGTTATCGAGAACGCGCCAGGATTTATGTCCTGCGTGTGAAAGAGGTCAGAGTATAAAGAGAGGAAAATGGTATGCGGGCAGGACGAGGAGAAATTCACCGGAGAAGAATTGAGTCGCCGTTGAAGAGAGGGAGAGTGAAGAATGCGAGAAAATGAGGCTCGGAAGGTTGAACAGATCGACGTTAAGCGCGCGTCACACAAAAAATATAAAAAAACCATGCACTCAAGGACCAAGATTTAATTAATACGAGGAGGGAGGTAAACAATTTTAAGGAGGAACTCGAGGAAAAGCGATATGCCGCAGAAAAAAAAACAAAACAAAAAAGAGTATAAGAGCGAAATTGTGTGTGTGTGTGTGTGCGAGAGAGAGGGAGAGATTGTGAGAGAGAGAAAGGGGGTAGAGCATGGCTAATATCTCTTTTTGTCACGGGATATATCAGTAATTGGATTCATCGATTAATCATCTATATATATATATGTATATCCGAAATTCGATTTAGTAGACGTGTAAGGGAAGTATACAGAGGTTTTCGAACGTCAACACATACTCATTACACTTTAATATTTATATCGTAAGTAAGTACGGAGCCAAGATCCGGACCACGAATCTTCAGAGAACACGATTTACCGAAACGAATGTCCTTTAACGTTTAAGCAAGCTGGTCCCGATATCGGTCGTCTGATATCAATCATTGCACGTTCGAAATAGTTCGCGTTTAACGAGGGAAATCTACCTGGTCGTCTGACGAGGAAGAAACGGGATTCTGTGACATATTATTGATCTCGCGCGAGTAAAGATATTCCTCTTCGAGTCGTTTCTAATAATAAATGTAATTTTGTGTTTTTTTTTTTAGATATTTCATATTATAATTTAATTGTCTCGCTTAATTATGCATTTCTATCGGAAACCTTGAATTCCATATGGAACGACATCCACGTAGTCTCGTTGAATTTAACTCACGTTAACTCGGATTTCATTCTTTGAGGAATTTTCATATTTTAGTCGGTCTCCTTTCGTAACGTAATACCTTCTAGTTTTCCAGATGTCATTCAGTTCTATTTATTCTATTAAATACTGTTAAATTATTACCACATTTTATAATAATTGTTGAATTTATTAGAAATATTTTACTTTCTCTACGCACACTTTGAAAATCCTTCCTGCATCCCGTTTCTTGGTCGTCAGCTCTTCTATCTGGCGTAATAAATTAGCTTAGCTGATCGATTTAATCGATAACTATCGATAGCGAGTTGGGGATAAACGATGGCAATCGAACAGTCGACTGCTCTTCGATTACGGGTACGCGATATTTTCATCCCTTAAATGGTACATTGCGTTCCGATTTCCATTCAGCATAATCAGACATTCCATTCTAAGTACGTAGTCACTCATAGCTTTAATTCTTCGAGTTGATCTCACGGTCCTTCGCGGGAAGGAATAGTTGAATTACAGTAGAGAGTTTAAGTAGGGTTTCTAGGCGGGAGAAATACTTTACCGTAGAGAGAGAGTGTGTGTGTGTGCCACGAATATCGCGTAATTTTCGATTTTAGGACACGTGCAAGCATAATGGACAAAATTCATCCACTTTTTCTATTGTCGTATAATTACTTGCAAATATCGAACGATGAAAATTTCATTTTTCACGTAATTCTATAGTCTAGCTCAGAAAAGTTACTCGTTCAAGGCCACCGAAATATTACTCGTTCTCCCATCGCGTCTTGTTAACTAAGAAGAGAACTCTCCAAGAGATAATCACCGATATCGACGATTCAAATATTCGACACAAATTTTGTTTTATCGGTTTCACGTTAAATTTACGAAAATCACCCTCGAAGATCAGAGTAATAAACCTATTTAGTCCAAATTATTTGTAGTATCGGGGCCTTCTTACCAAAAATAGGAAACCGACACGGGAGAATAGAGAGGGAGTGGTTGGCGTAGCGCGCAAAGCCTCGGCTTGCTAAGCCGAAGGTCCCGGGTTCGATTCCCGGTGGATCCCTCAATATTTTTCCGTCGTCGGTTCCTACGTATGGGGGCTCGTCCGGGATGGAGGCATCTACGGCTACACCGAAGCCAGGAGGTGTGCGATGAAAACATCTTGAGGGTTGCACGTCCTTTTTCGGCTGTGTGCCACTGTGTGGGGGAGTGTGCCCGAAAGTGTTGAGTTGTGTTGCACTGAGGACATTCGAGGGCGAATGTCAGTTCAGGATGGCCGAGTGTAGTATCGGGGTCTCCATACCCAAAAATAGGAAACCGACACGGGAGAATAGAGAGGGAGTGGTTGGCATAGCGCGCAAAGCCTCGGCTTGCTAAGCCGAAGGTCCCGGGTTCGATTCCCGTTTGGGTCCGTCAGTTCTCCTACATATTTATTCTTCGTCATTTTTCAAATTTGTCGTTGAAAAATACAAACTTCGTCAATTTACGGTATTCCTCTATCCTTCGATAGTTTTCAAGATATTAGACTACAATATGCATATACTACCCTAACTTCGAGCGCGATTTTCATCCCTTCGCTGTGAACGATTGCCGATATAAAAAAAAAATACTTGTCATAAAAATCTGTGATCGTCGCTTGAGGACGTCGCGTTGCAAGCGAGAGATGTCGGTTTAACGAGGCGACGGAGAGCAGGGCAATTAATATCGTCGCGGGGTAGAAAGAGAGTAATGGGGCGAGTAGCGATAAGAGAAGTATTATTTGTGGTGTATATGCAGGAAGAAAGTTGAGCCGCACCAGTGTGGAATCGTAAAAGTGGGTGTGGTTCTTGACGTACAATCCTTAGGTAAGCGCGTGACTTTGAACGATCGAAGGCTTCGAAGAATAGGGGGGATACGGCCGTTGAGAGATCGAAAATTGCGCGGATATATCCGGCCACGTGTGTAGCTCCTATATCCTTGCATTTCGTTCAAAATGATCTTCGTAGGACTCGAGGTTAATTGCATTTATGCTGCGTATATTTACGTGCCGCTTTCTCTCATAAGTACGTATTCGATCGGAACTCGAATTCACGGTAACGTTATACATTTAATCGATAATAATTAGTCGAGGCAGTTCCAATCTTTTCGTACGGTCCGATCGATCGATCGATCGGTTCGAACTCGCGGCCGGGGCGTTCAGTGTCCAGTGACTGATAGCGCGGTATCGTTTAAGATAGTGTGTAATTTTAATATGCTGTATTCCATTTTATAATACCTCGGGTATTTAAATTACATATGCTAGCTTTAGACGGCGAGATTCTTCGAAAACGACCCGATTCCCATTATTCCACGTGTGTCGTGATTCGCGCGCGTGTCTGTGTTTATTGATCGTAATTGTATCGCGATAAACGCTCGCGCGAATGAATTGCGACGACGAACGGAGGAAGAAAGGGTTAAGAAAAGCGAGAGAACGAGAGGGAAAAGGATTTTTCTCTTCTTTGTTTTTTTTTTCTCTTCTTTTTTGCATGCAAACCGCGTTCAGAAGAACGTCATATATGCACCGCGTTTCTCTCGTTCGATCCGGTCGTTTTCGAGTGTCTTCAAGAGGAAATTGCCATGCTCGGGCGCTACCATTCTGTGATCCAATGAAAAAATTAATTAATTAAACTCATACCGAGGAAACCTGAATAATGTTCTCTTCGAGGAATCTTACTCTGTACATATATTATATTATTATACATCTCTACCTTTTTTAAATTGGGACACCGTGTATTTATTAAGTGGAGAACGATAAGAGCGAAAGAAGGGGGTGGAAGAGAGAGAGAGAACGAAAGAGCTGAAGAAAGGGTTAAAGTGTTGGGGAAACGAAGATAAAGAAAAGGAAGTGGTGTCCCCACTTTTCGCATTCCGCGCAATTCCAACTTTTTGTATGCTCTTGCAAAACTGAAAGAAAGAAAAGAAGAGAGTGTATGAGAGAGAGAGAGAAAAAGAGAGAACTGAATTACGCGAGAGGTGAGCTCAAAAGAGAAAAGAAAAGACGAAAACAGAAAAAAAAAAAAATTAACGAAGCGATTTGGTTCGATTGAATGTTGAGTGAAAGTGCCTTTTACGATGTGTTTCATATTCCGTCTAGCTTTTCCGTGTTGAAGGGAATCAATTACTTTCGATTAAACATTCCGTAACGTTTTACCCTGTGACGATCGCGGTAAAACAGGATCTCGGTCGATAATATTTATCACGTGGTGTTTCGTCGATCAAACGATCGAAACATTATTTTTTCTAATTTTTAACGTTTTTACCGTCGGTTGATAAGTCTGGGATTTTTTTGCGTAATTTATTGTGCAATTTTAAACGTGTAGTATGTTTCACGTTGTAATACAAGCATAACGAGATGATACTGAGAATATTAATTAGATCTAATTTTATCGGTGCATCGTTGTTGATCGTTCTTTTAATTAATTAAACTGAGACGTTGAATTCAAATTTAGAATTTTTATAAACAGTAATTTCTTTGCAAGTTAATACAAAGTATAAAGACGGCTATAATTCGTGTGTAAAAAAATTTTTGATTACCTTTTTGTGTACTAGAATTCACTTTGAAAATTACTTCCACAGTTACTCGAAACATCCTATACAAATGTAAAAAGACGAACCAGTAATTATTTGCAAAAAAAAAAAAAGAACAAAGAACTACAGAAAGATATTGTTAATAAAAATTGCATGCTCTATCAGAGATCACTTTATACGATAACACAAACAACGGTCTGCACGTCCTTGTAGACCGTAACTACAAAATCATGATAATCGCATGTTATACATGCTGATGTCTGAATTATGCGGGACTTCTTAAGTAGAATAAAGAAGCACGATAATAACGATAAAAGAAGAAGCGTGAAAATATGAAAAAGATCAGAGGCGTAATCAAATCTTTATGTATTATAA